CATTTGATAAGAACAGTATAGCACCTATGCAAGATACCCTGTGAAATTTTATTTAGGACTATAAATGATATTGGAATAAATTGAAAGACAGAAATTGTGACAATATTGAGAAGATTTATTATCACCACTAATTCAAACTAGATTTTAAACCTGATGCTATATCAACAATAATCATAAGATCACCTTTCTATGTGTTAGCACAGAGATGCTGACACTCACATGGAGAAGAGGAAGGAATAATGGTGTGTGTGGCGGGGGGGAATAGCATGGGAGCAAACACATCTTACCGAATGTGAAAGTTATCAATATGATGTGTGAGCAGAAATAGTGTGTTGACAAAATTTAAAGTGTCATAAGTTTATCTCAGATATTATAGTGCAGCCTGCATGCTATTTTCATCCAGTTATAAAATAATGACTTCTTAAAGGTTTCTGTCAAAAATTTCCACCCATTAAGCCCAGCACAGTTAACCACTGTTTTAGAGCAAGTACAGACATCAACTCCAATTGACTATGGAAAGAAATGAAAATTAAAGTCCGAGAATGATATTAGAAAACCACTTAATATAGGAGGTAAAGAAAATCTTTACCAAGATAGAGATTTAATGTGGAAGAAAATAAATTATACGGCTATATAAAACCTGAATCTTTGACATGGTCAAAGATCCTATAAATAAAGATGAACAAATAACAGAAATGAAGGAAAATCTCCTGCTTAAAAATGTAGGCAACAGTTCATGTACTTGAAAAGGAAAGTACTGTAATACTGATTTAAAAAAAACAGCAAATTAAATTTAAAAATGGCCCATGGATATGATTTGCTAATGTAACAAATGCAAATGTTTGACTAATATGCATACAGATATTACCTTTTTTTCATGGCTGGAGAAATGCAAATTGGTAATTTAAAAATGAAGCTTCACTGTGCAAGAATTCCATTACACTAGAGGCTCATTGTAAATTAAAGGAGCTCTTGCTTTGTTGATGAGAAATGAGGTGTTATTGCATACCTTGAAAAGACTAATTAAAATTTAAAACAAATATACAGTTCATAATCTTATTTCTGGGAGTCAATCCAACAGAAATAAAGACATTCAGATTTCATGTTCTATGCTAAGAATGTTCATTGCAACATTGTTGGTTGTCTTTTAAAATGTGGGCTGAAGAGCCCAAATGGAGGAATGGTTTGAGAAGTTATGGCACACTCACAAGATGGAGCTTTAGATTTACAAAAAAAAAAAAAAAAAAAAACCTTCAGCTAGTTAGAGCTAAGTCATTGGTCAATGTATGTGACTATATTTTCTAAATAGAGATGGATAGTCTCCTATATTTATATATATTTACATACACATATGTGTACAGATGTTTGACTATAAACTAAGAAAGATACCTACTCTGTGGTTAACACAGGTGTACTGTGTGGAAGATAAGTAGGTAAAGATATGATAAGGGTGGCAAGCCAAGAAAAAAAATCATCAAGAAAATATATCACGTGGTGTAGTGGGTAGCCGTTCCAGCTTTGACCTGGAAGTGCCACCCTCTTTGAGGCTTCCGTAACTGTCACACCTACAAGGCGGGACCAAGAGACGACCCCTGAAGACCCGAGATCTGGACAGGCCGGCTCTCTTGGTTCCTGGACCCTGGACAGTGGAGGTAGACTGAGTAGAGTTCTCTAGAGAACACTGCTGGACTGTGCTACACCTTTCCCAGATCCTGTTACCTATCCCTTCATTTGTGAGTTACCCCACAAAATAAACCTCCCTTTTAACTATGTGGAGTTGCCCTAATATTTAAACCAATAACTTGGTAAGAATTCACTCAAACACAGGTAAAATTATGTCTCTATAAATGACTATAGATTTGTTTAAGTTATTTTTTAAAGACCACTGCACACAAACTAAATTTACTCTTCTAGTTGAGAAAAAATAAAATACATTCTCAGAAATAATTTTTAGATGATTGGATATGAAAATTAGTGAAGGTCTCTTGCTATACAGGTGTGAAGACCTGTGTTCCATCTCCATCACTCACATAAAATAAGCTGGGCATAGTTGTGTGTGCCAAAACACCAGCCCTGGGGAGGGAGGAGAAAAAGGTGGATTCTTGACACTTGCCAGCCAGTTTAACCAAAACTGTGAGCATCAAGTCCAGTGAGAAATCCTGCCTCAAGGGATTACGGTGGAGAGTGACAGAGCAGGATGCCTGATGTCTTCCTTTGGCCTCTGTGGGTACACATAAGGACATATGCACCTGCACGCACACAAACCTGTGCATGCGCACAGACACACACACACACACCTATGCACACACCTATCTACACACACACACACACACACACACACACACACACACACACATACCTAATCCACTTCTATTATTTCTTTTAGTGATTCTGTCCTACTCTGATTCTGATTTCACGCTGCAAGCTATGCTAGTCTTGAATTCTGGACTTTAACCACGCAACATGGAGGAACAACCAGTGTGAGGAGTTCCTAACACCGGTTCCCTGATGGGATGCAGCAAGCTGGGCCAAGAAACACGTGGTAGTTTTAGATAGGTTTGGCGGTTCATGATTCTCCAGGTCTTCCAGATCCTCCAAGCTGTCTTTGTTCCCGTTGTTGACCTGGCAGCATCCCCTAAGCAACATCTCATTCTTCCATTAGCAGCGTGCTGTGATCCTTCAGTTAGCGATGTAACTGAGCATGTTACTGAATCCACAACTGAGTTAGCTTTGCATAGCCTCTGCTCTACATCTCTAGAATGACAGGTACTATTTCAGAGAGAGAGAGTTAAAATATATACATTCTGTAAGTTCATTCTGTACCTTAAGGTCAAAACCAAGAAATGAGGACTGAAGAGATAATGGAGTGGTGGAGAGCTCTTGCAGCTCTTACGGAGAACCCAAGTCCAGTACTCATGTCAGGTAGGTCATAACCATTGCACACAGATGGCATACACACACACACACACACACACACACACACACAGAGAGAGAGAGAGAGAGAGAGAGAGAGAGAGAGAGAGAGAGAAAGAGAGAGACAGACAGACAGACAGACAGAGACAGAGACAGAGAGGCAGAGAGAGAATGTAATCTTAAAAAACAAAACAAAAATAAGAAATCACTGTTTGGAAGTAGAAGAGCCCATGGTGTTGGCCTTCCTCACTCTCTTGGACTTTCTTAATTGTAGCAACTTCCCATTATTCTCAGGAATAGTACAGTGTCCCTGGTCTTGAGCAATTGGATGTCTTAATGCTTACATTCCACAAGCAGTTAAATAACATGGCTTACTTTGTTTTGTGCATCTTAGTAATTAATCCCATATATCCTTATTTTTCTGAGATGTTTTGTTTCACCTATAAAACAAACTACCGATTTCACTGACAAGTCACTTTGGATTCCTGTTTCATGGACAGTTACCATTCTTTGGTTTTAAGTAACTTGAGTCACATCATGAACCATTGTACAGAGGACATGGGAGACTCACAATATGGCGGTGGTGGGGTATGTTCAGTAACTGAGAGCAGAGTTTAGCTCGCATTACCCACTTTAGAGTCAAGCTCCATCATGCTGATAATAACCTCACAGGCACCACACATCCTGTGTCTGATCCCTTCACCAAGGGAAGAAAACTAGCAGCAGAACTTATCCTACATACTTGTGAAGATGAATAAGTAATTAAAGGCATGGTAATATATCAATTTCTTATACTATCATAGGAAATTGTTACTGATTTAGTAGCTTAAAAACTATGCTCAGACCCCAACAAATCCATCTGTAGCACAACCTGTACACCTAAGGGCCAGGGAACATGGTGGGAAAGAGAGCAGAAGCCCTGTAAGAGCCAGAGGAACGGGACGTTTGCTATGATAATGTCTCCCAAAAATGTCAGAGAAGCTACCCCCGTGAATTCTCATCAACATGGCTGCCTAAACAAGACACACCACCAGCTGAAATGGCAACGTGGATGGGGGAAACATCACAAGGCCCCACCCCCAGGAAAAAAAGCTGCCAAGAGCAAATCAGTCTTTTCCAGGCACGATACCCCCGATAAGTTATTCAATCTTAAATGATCAGCTTTAAACACATATACATAGGAACATCACTAATGGACTCAGCAGTGTGTGTGTGTGTGTGTGTGTGTGTGTGTGTGTGTGTGTGTGTGTGTATAACAACAATAATTAAAGAAGAAAGTCATGATTTGAAAGGGTGTGGGGTATGTGAGGGAGTTGTAGGTGGAGAAGGGTACATGATGGAAATGATGTATGAAATTCTAAAAAAAAAAAACCAAAACATTATTTAATCATGCAAATATATGTTATGTTACGATATATTAGGTCAGAAGTCTGGGTGGGCTCAACACTGCACTGCCCAAGGCCAAAATGAAAGTGTGGCAGCACTGGTCTGGAGTACCTGGGAAGAGATCACTTTGGCCTCTTTCAGGGGTCTGGCAGAATTCAGTGCCACCAACCGAGAGCTTCCTGTTTCTCCGCTGGCTGTTGGCTGGTGTTCTCCGCTGAAACTGGCCACAGTTCCCCCCTCAAGGAAGCTGGTATTGAGAGGTGGAGGTGATAATGAATCCTGGGTTTATATTATCTCTGTCCTTCACTTTGCCTTGTCTTTTCTTTGTATAGCTGGAGAATGTTTGCCACATTTAAGATTCATGTGATTAGATTGGATACTCTTTTTATTTTATAATCTGAAGTAGAACTGTCCAGAAGCCCCAGGAATTACAAGTTGGCATCTTGCTACCCCAGGAATGTAATACGCCTCTTGGCACAAGTAAAGAAATGTATCAAATTTGACATTGCTATTCTTCCTTAAAATATCACCCCAAGGATAGTTGCCAGGCAGCAGGGGTGTAGTTTCTTTAGGACATATAGTATTATTGGCTTGGTTGCAGGGATTTTCTTTTCATTCATTATTAATATTTGAATTTCCTAGAAAAAATTTCTGGATAACCTCACTTGAGTCTTGATTTCCCTCTAGGTTAGAATGCTTCATCAGGAGAAAAAGACAGAGCTGTCAACCTCTGCTGGGCTACAGGGTCACCCCAACCCTGTGATGGTCATCTGATTCTGACTAGTCAGATTTCCTGAGAATTTGGGATGTAATTTTTTTAAAATGTGGAGGAGTATTGAGCTGCCAAAAGCAATAGCTATTTATACCGATATGAAAGATAAACATTTCTGTAAGATGAGCTCCTGGAAAAGAAAGTTCACTGACCCATTTATCCCTTTCTGAATACGGCTCATCATTCTGAGAGTTCTCTGGTTCTTCACAAATATTTCCAAAAAGGCAAGAGGCATGTCCCCAATGGCACCTTCCATTATGAACAACCAAAAACTCTCCTTCAAGTCCATCATTTGATCACAAAGCACCACAGTTCCATGTCTGATTTATTATAATGTTGTGTCTGATACATAAGAGGTTAAAAATGCTTTCTGATCATTCTTCCCACAGCTGCCTTCACCTCCTTGTTCTTCAGGCTGTAGATGAGGGGGTTCAGCATGGGAGTGATCAGGCTGTATTGCAAAGAGAAGACCATTTCCAGGGGGGACCCTGAAGCTGGTAAAAGGTAGCTGATGAAACCTGAGCCATAGAACAAGATCACAGTCGTGAGGTGGGATAAGCAGGTGGAGAAGGCCTTGCTTCTGCCTGTGGTGGAGCTGACCCTCAGGACAGTGGAGACAATGCGGGCGTAGGAGCCAACAATCATAACGAGGGTCCCAAAGAAATGCACAACTGAGGAGCAGAGCAGGAGTGTGAAGTTGGTGGAGGTATCGGAGCAGGACAGAGGGAAGAGAGAAGACAGCTCACAGCTGAAGTGAGGAATCGCTTGGTCCTCACAGAAATCTAAACTGGCAGCCAGGAGGATATTGAGGAGGGCATCACCAAAGGCCAGACCCCAGGAGAGCCACACCAGCCCCACGCAGAGCTGGTGGCTCATCACCCGGCCGTAGAGCAAAGGCGAGCTGATGGCGACGTAGCGGTCGTAGGCCATGGCCGCGAGGAGACAGGCCTCAGTGCCTCCGGTGGCGAACACAAAGAAGGCCTGCGCCAGGCAGCTTTCAACCCAGATGGTTTTGTCTTCAGAAAGCAGGTTCTCCAGCATCTGGGGAGCCGTGACCGATGAGTGACACAGGTCCAGGAAGGACAGTTGCCTCAAGAAGAAGTACATGGGCGTGTGGAGGTGGGAATCGGCCGCGATCACAAGCAGCATCAAGGCGTTCCCCACCAGAGTGAGGAGGTAGACCAGAAGGAAGAGAGCAAAGAGGAGCGGCCGAAGGTAGGGGTCGGCGGACAGTCCAAGGAGAACGAACTCTCGGACAGCGCTGTGGTTTCTCATGGCTGCAGAGAGGGAAACAAACAAGATCCGTCAGGGCCCCTCGTGCCCCGTGGCTCCCCCAGATTGAAATCGTGTTACACATAAATCCCTGCTCACCTATTTAAAAATGGCCTCCCTGACCACTGCTATGCCGTTATTAATCATCAACATTATCTTTTATTATGAAGCCTTTTTTTCTGAGCTCAGTGTTATCTGGCTACTGAGAGTGATTCATTTGAGAAATGTTTCTGATCAGAGATAGAGAAAAATCCCAAGGGTGAATTACCTGAGAGATAAAGAGAGAGGACTAGATCTAGATGAGAAGGATTTAAGCAGATGCATGAACACTGTGTATTCTACAAACATTAGAAGAAAAGGCCAGAAGTGCTGGACTAGGCACACAAAAACCAGAATCCTTACTTCACAGCTTCCATTACCTTTAAATGAGATCTTTGCTTGTGCGTGTATACATGTCCATTAACACGCTCACTTACTGGCAAGAACTTATAAATTCTGAAAGTTTCTGTTTTGGTTGTGCCTAATGCCTGAAATATCATCCATCATTGATTTGTGCAAGCTATATATCAAATTTAAAACAAACAATTACCAGATACATGAAAGGCTTTCTTTTAGATCCAAGCACTACTCTAGGGATGGAGGGTGAAGTTAACTGACTCTCACCCGAGAGAAAAAACTCCTCGAGAGCTGTTCATCTCAGAAGCACATAAAAGGCATCATGCATAATAACTGGTCCTTGGTGTTTATCCTTGATGGAAAGAGGAAGAGACAGAGGCAGACAGAAAGAGGGAGGGAGAGAGAGGTGAGAGAGAGAGAGACAAAGAGAGGGAGAGACAGACAGACAGAGAGACAGAGAGACAGAGACGGGGAGAGAGAGGGAGAGACAGACAGAGAGACAGAGAGAGAGAGAGAGAGAGAGAGAGAGAGAGAGACGGGGAAAGAGAGGAGAGAGAGAGACAAAGACAGAGAGACAGAGAGACAGAGAGAGAGAGACAGAGAGAGAGAGAGAGAGAGAGAGAGAGACAGAGACAGAGAGAGAGAGACGGGGAAAGAGAGAGGAGAGAGGAGAGAGGGGACAAGCCAATCTATCTAACTGAAGTGTGAGCGTCTACTCAGTTGGAAGTCCCTGTGCCAGCAGGCATTTGGCACAAGCAGAAGGGAGAAAACCAAAAGGCACCAAAGCAGAACCAACCCCACTTTAAACATGTCCTGACTGTGCCCCAGCCCTTCCTCTTCCTCCTTCTCCAATTAGCTATGCCGTGGTATCGGTCAAGGGGGTTGCCTTGCTTGGTTTTGTTTTGTGGAGCCTTCTTTAAAACTGTAGCAGTCAGCCTTACATAAGTTAGAACTCAGCAATACCCACAACTACGGAGAGCCCTGCTGTGCAGTCAACTGATAAAGATTAGAACAGGAGCTGGGGAAGAGTTAGCAGAGCACCACACAGCAGCGGAGGCCATCTCTCAGAGCCCCTGTTCCTGCGTGCCAGGACGAACACCAAAGAGCAAAGCACACTGCCTCTCACCCACCACAACATCCTGGTGCCTAAGAGTCACCCTAACATGGCAGACCAGCTAGTGAGGCTGCTCACAGCAAGGGACAAAAACAACGATGTCACACCTAGGTGGGGACACAGTGAGAAAGCAGGCAGGTGCCTGCCAGCCAGGAGAAGGGCCTCCAGGGAAACCGACCTTATTGTCACCTTGAGCCTGGACTGCCAGTGTCTCCAGAAGCACAATAGAATTTCCTGCTATTACACCAATAACTCTGCAGAAGAATTACCTGGCGCTGAGCGCCATCTTGAAGAACAGTGAAGTACTGCCTGTGTTCAGGAAGGCTTCACATCCCCCCTGTTCAAAACAATACCTGTCAAGATGGCTCAGCAGGCAGAGGTACTTGCTACCAAGCCTGATGACCCCATCCCCCGTGGCGGAAGAAGAGAACGGACTCCCACGTGCTGTCCTCTGCGCTCCACACGTGCCGTGGCACATGTCTGCCCACACTCATATGCAAACACACGTAAAAGACTCAGTATTGGATATCACCTGAATTGTTGACAATTGTCTTAGGGTAGCACTGGGGCTGAGGACATACAAGAGGACACGCTTGTTTGTGTGAGGTCAAGAGTTAAGTAGTGACGGAATGAATAATGTTCAAGTGACATTGTCCTCCTGTACTTCCAAATGATTCAGCGGGGCAAATTCTGCAGGTGCACAAGCACAAAGCTGTGGAAATGGAAAGGTGAGTCCCTACAGCAAGCAGAATAGTAATGCTTGACTCTAGGCTGAATTATAATAGTGTCTGAATCTTTCAACTTCCTTGTATGCTTCAAGTTATTCAAATTTTAAAATGTCTTTAAGGGCTGAGGGGGCTGTCAGTATTTGCCTTGCAGAACATGAGCCCAGCCGCTAGAATCCCCACATAAAGAGCTGGCTGTGGTGACCTGCAGGGAGAGAGGTGGTGGGTCCTGGAGCTGACTGGCAGGCCAGCCTACCTTACTTACAGAGTTCCAGGTCAGTGCCAGACACTGTCAGAAGCAAAAATGAAGGGCTGGAGAGACGGTTCAGTGATCAAGAATACTGGCTACTCTTCCAAGGACCTATGTTCAATTTCTTCGCACCCACACGGTGGTTCACAAGTGTCTGTAACTCCAGTCCCAGGGGATCACATCCCCTCTTCCGTCCTCTGTGGGCACCAGACATGCACATGGTGCATATAGACATGCGTGCAGGCAAAACACCCACACACAAAAAATAACTTTTTAAAAAATGAGAAACAAAAAAGATACCTAATGAACAATACCCAAATTGTCTTTGGGCTCTATATGCACGTGCCCAAACATGTACGCTCATCCACACATGAACACACACACACACACACACACACACACACACACACACACACACAATTTTCTTAAATGATTTAATTAAATATACACATATAAATTAAATGATTAACTTTTACTTAATTAGCAAACTTACCCATCAAGAGAATTAGAATTAACACAAAATAATATTTTAATGCAATTATATATGCATTTATATATGTGTCTGTACACACATATCTGTTATTGTATATTTCCCTTATTTACAAAGCTATCTCATGTGTGATGTAAGCTTCTGGTAAACTGATATGCTTGGTGTACATGCTCTCCCTCTACCCTTATCAATATACTCTCTAAATATATATGATATATTTAAGTATGTAATTAAAACTTGTTTATGTCCCTTTTTTTTGTTAAGTGACAGATATGAATCGTTATCTCTGTGAGACATAAATATACATAGAACTCCCTGAGTCTACATAAAAGATGTCAGACAGAAAAGTAACCCAGGAATCCACTTCAGATCGCTTCAAGTCCCTACAGTAGGAGAAGGAGAGGGTTAAGATTTATCAGGATGAGGAAAAGTTACAGAAGCCAAGTCAAGCCTGTTATTTTCTCTGTGGTTCCTTGACCACATGGATCCCGATCAATTGCTTTAATGTTCAGTGTGGTAAGGACTCAGCCACTGATACTTGGTCCTCAGTGCCAATATGGCTGTGCCCTGAGTTCTGTAGCTAACAGCTTTAATTCCCCATTTCACTGTCAAATTGTCCGGTAGACCCAGTCAGCTCAAGGGCAGAAATGGAAAACAGTCTCAAATTACTGAACTATTCAGGGCTAACGACAATTTTTTAATTTGATAATTCTTTTCTTAATTTTTTTTATTATGTGTGTATGCAAGATCACACTTGAGTTCAGGTGCCTCAGAAACCGGACATGTTGGATCCCCGCCGCTCCCCCCCCCCCAGCTGGACTTATATCAGTTGTGACCTGCTAAATAAGAGGGAACCAAACTTGAATCCTCTGAAAGAGCAGTATGTGCTTTTAAGCCCTGAGCCAAGCCTCCAGCCCCAATTTTCCCATCTTCACTGTTCAGTGTTGTGAGAATTTAATTGAATAATTTTAATTGAATAATTTAACAAGCTCTGTTTCCAGTTCGATTGAAATTGTCAATATACCAAAGGAAAAAGAAGAGAGGCCCGTCTGAGAACCCCTGAGAAAGGCTTGGAGGACCAAGGGAACCTATCCCTTCTGGAGGTGCGAGTGTAGGATAACTTGGAACAGGAAAAAAAAAAAAAACATGAGATAAAAGGAATAAAAATGAAATAATATCTCAGAAAGCCACAAAGAGAGAGGAGGAAGGAAAGGGGGGGCTCAAGGAGCCGAGAGAAGAAACAGGGACGTCTGGGCAGCCAAGGAACATTAGTATGCCCCTGACAGGTGCCCTGGAGCTCAAGAAGGAAACAGCCTAACATCCTACCTCAGGTGATTCCCATCAAGAGCAGGCCCCTCGCTGCTCAGTGCACAAGAATGTACAGTCTTCAGTTGAGGGAGCTGGGTGAGAAGTGTGTTTACACGGGCTGGAGAGCTCCCCTAGACAGTGGAGGACACTTCTCTAATTTCTGCTTGGGAATCATCACAGTGCACTCCGTTTTTGGAACAATTTCTTCCTTGTGTCTTAATTCTGATCACACAATCATTTGTGCACTTGACATCTTCAATGATCAATAGTTTGCTCTTAGCATTATCTGAAGAAAGAGCCCTCCAGGGTCTGCCATGAGGACGGCAGCTCCGTTTAGAGTCAATGGGGCCAGTGGATTGAGTTAGGGGGCCTAAGAAGCAGTTGACTCGATGCCAGGCAGTCCCTGGAGTTATGGAGAAGCTTGACTTCAGCATCATTAATTAAACAGAACTTTTTTTTTTTTTAGGGCAACAAGGGACTTTATTATGCATTATCTTTGGAAACGCTGGGTTAAAGCAATCACCTTACACTATTAGATGAGAAATTTTTGCTATGCTGACGACAGCTCACTGGAACAGAAAGACAAAAACCTGTCCCCATGCAGGAAGACACGATTTTCCCAATGACAAAAATCCAAGGGGAACAAACGAGCCATCCGAGATTTAACATGGAAGCTGAGACCATTGTGCTTACCTCCTGATCGTTTTCCCATGTGTGTGA